CATTTCCTGATGGAGCAGATAAACCCTACGTGAAGCGGAAGCCAACGAGATGGAGACCAGTACGGAAGAAGATACGTCCCGTAAAATTAATAGACTTTGTTGAATTCTAATTTTGTGTTTGTAAATTCTGTACATTTAATTAAGTTATTGTTCATTTTCTATTGGTTTAATGTAAGTGGCTATTGTTCGGGACGAACAATACTAAGGAAAGGACAGTGTTACAACAACGGAAGTCACGTGACGCTGGTAACACGTAAAGAGTTCTAGAAAGATCGGGAAACATCACGTATAATCCAGTATTTGCTAGGTGCCCTCTATTCTTGTATATAAGTGCACCAGACAATGAATCGAGATAGATAATTGAATAGCGGACAGAGAGATTGAAGATATAGATGGACAATTGAGTCAAGCACGGTAGTAAGTAAAGTGCGTGAATCGTTCGTTGAGAATTATAGCGTGTCCTGAAGTGAGTGTGGATATTAAGTGCATTGCAATATTGTAATGAGAAGGAATAAACTAGTTTTATTTAAGAAAGGACTTGTATTGTTGAAGTTTCTGGGAAAGAACTTCTTAGGAAAATTAACAAACGAATAGAGACGTAACAATACAGTAATATATTTATAAGTTCCACTATGAGTAAAGTAGCGCCACATTCTAGTTTTAAAGAGTGCAATTAAATACTTCTATAGATGCCTTTGTTTTGTTACGTGTGTTAAAGAAGTGAATGTCTTGTTTCTTGAGATATTGTCGAAAGAGACGATTAGTAAACTCTGTCACAGCATTGTTTTGAAGTTTGCAAGTTTTTCAACCCTGTTTTATAATTTGTTTGAAAGATTTTACAACCTTTCTTTTCCATGAATGGAACAATACACGCATATTTAGAAATCACTTCGATACATGTGAGTAAATAATTAAACTGATTGTTACGAGTATATTGACTTAAGTTAGAGAGATCCACCAAACGATAAATCGCTTTCTCGAAAACTTATATTTTACTGGTTTGTGTAGAATGTATGTATTCTGTCAACTTAACGAGTCTGTTGGGTATACAAGACTGTTTAGTGTAGGCAATATTATTTAATTGTTTAGTGTGTTTTTTCATAACAAGAGAGTTAAAGGCAATTAATATAAAGATGATAATTAAAACAAGTTTGGTTAGAGTCATACATTTTGTTTGCAATTCATCATTGTCGAGGCTATAGAAATTTCTGGTTGTCTCAGTCATAAACATATAAATAACGACGACCAAACGAGCGGAAGTGGAGTAAAAGTAAAGTCAAGTGAAAGAGAAGTTCAGTCAGAGAAAAGGTAGAAAACGCAAAGTTAGCCTTATCTCTATCAAATTGTTTATCTCACTTTGAAATATCAACCACTGAGGCTATACGCTCCCACGTTGGAGAATAATTTGTCATGTAGAAGAATTCTTGGCACACACCCATATATACACATTTAAAAGTTCTGACACAGTCTTTAACCTGATTTATAGTTACAGATTTACCTAGCACTTTTATACATCTAAATAAAGGTTGTACTCTGCCAAACCTAGCATGATGTGTAGGGTTTTGATATAAAGATTGTAGGGTTTTGTTAGGCATTACTTCCTATGCTGTTTACTTTTATCTAATTTTTTACAATCAGATTAGTCTCTAACAGTCGTAATAATACAGCCATGCATACAGAAGCAATAGTCTTGTACCTGAAGGGAACTATATCGCAAGTTATAAGAAGCTCTTCCATGAATTAAAGACAGCACCGTCAAAGTATATCTACATCTGATTGGCAGTATCTAAAGATAAAAATAAAAAATGATAAATATAACTTTCAACAAAATTTTCAAGAGAACAACAAACATAAATAAGAATCAACATTGATAGTGCTATTTTTTCTTACCTGTACATCTCTTCTTGAAAGTCAAAGTCTTACTCTTCCTCTCGTCACTGACAGTGCCAATTCAGAAACTTTGTTTTATGGTTGCTGACCTGATATCGGGAGAGTAAAAGTTGGAATCCTATATAGGTCCGTCCTGGCATGGCCAGGTGGCTAGAGTGCTCGACTCGCAATCTGAGGGTCGTGGGTTCGAATCCGCGTTATATCAAACATGCTTGCCCTTTCAGCCGTGGGGGCATTATATGTGATGGTCAATCCCACTATTCGTTGGTTCTCTACAGAGAAATTTAGCTTATTCAAAAATTCCACAGCAATGACAGTCTTAGCTAAATGAGCTGCAATTGATTGTACAGAGCCACCTGTGCACTCCAACGAGTATCAGACATTGAATGTAGAGAAATTCCAACACACTCCTTCGGAATTTTCCATCGTTGGGAGGACTACAGCTAAACAGATTATACAGTTGCTGTATTATCCCAAAAAATATCGCTGCATCAAGGAAACACTCAGCATCGTGCACTCCACACAAGTTAAGACTGTGATAAGCGCATGAAGAAAACTTTGGTAAAAGATTCCACCGAAGAAAAAATGCTTGTGCACCATTAAACGCCCCACTCATATTACTTTCATTGTCATAACCTTAGCCACGGTATTCATTAATAGAAATTGTTTCTCAAGAGTCGAGCGAATCAAGGTTGCAATTGCAACTCCTGTTTTTGTCTGCAGCCAGTGAATTCCAAAAATCGTTCTTGTATTTCATATTTGCATTTTTCTTCATTGAAATTAACATAACGAGGGATAAATGTTGTTTGCTCGACATGACTTGAATCTGGAGTTGCATCAATAATAATGGAATAATACTTCGCATTTTCTCTCTGTTCTAAGATAGCACTTCTAACATGATAGGCACAGCAAGAAATAAATTTATTCTGCGTGTCACTAGACAGATAATGCACTTATAAGCGTTTACCAGCTTTTTGAGATTCTCTGACCTTGCCAAAATGTTTTTCCAGAACTGGGTAATAGTGACTCAAAAGCTCTAGGACTCTAAAAACATTTCCATTACTTGGCTCTCCGATTTTCTGATATTTGCCTCTGAATGCCAAGCCTTATTCACGAAGAAATAATGTCACACCAAGCAACCGTCGTAGTATTTGTTTCCATAAATAGGCTTCGCTTTGAATCTGTCTCTCCAGTGTGTGTAAAATAGTACCACTGCATTCTAGTTGAATTTCTCAGGTCTACCATTTCAAGTAGCACTCTTTGTGAAGACTGTTACACTGATGTTCTGGAATTCTGTCGTAGAATTTTCTCCATTTCAACCGATATGAATGTTCTGAGTTAGAAGGAAAATACGAACGAAATTATTCAGACTGAGAAGAAAAAAGCCAACAAGTAAAACAAAATAATGCCTGCTGGATCCGACTCCAAACTATCCAATTACGAGGCGCAAATTCATTGTTTGGAAGTTCGTACTGAAGTAAAGACGTAGGAAATGGACGTAAAGTAGCATCTATCGGAAACTGTTATGGGTGCTTAAATGGACTGCGTTTCACTGCCTCTTCTATTTCCTGAGCCATAGAATATAATGTCTTTAGAGTTCCAATATCAAATGTATTGAAATACAGGTGTTGAAAGCCCTCATTACCAGTTGCAGTTGTGCACGTACTGGGACTACTAACTGAAGGTTTGCTTGAATCATCATTTCCAACAGCAAACTTTCGAACTCCATCTGAAGAAAAAAAAGGATAAGTACGCTAATATTAACTTGAAAAACAATTTCCTTCAAAAAAAGAAAGTACAGAAACTTGGAAATATATACTTGTATTTAATTTAGCCTTTCATAGTTATAATTAAAAATTGAAGAAGGAAGTGTTCAATAATCAGACTATCCTTACCCTCGGTAGTGTATCTTTGCTCTTCTATTTCAACAGAAGACTCATTAGGTTTTTCTTTGATAATGTTTAGGAATCAGATGACTGGCTTTTGCTATCTCACTCATCGCCACATGCTGATGAAGAAACAAAGCCCAGAATAAATAAACTTGTCTGACCTATTTTTGCTTTTTCTCGTTTTTCTTTTCTCTTCTGTGCTCCAGATTTATATTTGTACTCCATAATGCTAATGCTTAAAACAATGAAGAATTGAACGAATGCAAATAATATCAAATAATATTAAAATAAAATTAACAGTTGCTATAACATGTAACCCTCGATAAGGAAGATACATTGAGTTGGCTAATGCAAATAGTCATAAGAACATAAGAATGTATTAGCATAGCAAAGAGTCACTTGAACCCATCAAGGCTATCCCACATAGTTATTTCTCCATATTGTAAGTTATAACAAAATAATAATAATAATAATAAAACGAAAAGTAAATATATATAGCTAGTTAAATACAACAAAAACAGCTCTACCAAGTTTTAGACGTTAGTTATACCAAAAGTTATCTTGTATTTTTTTCTTCGTCCGGGCCTCGGGAATTTTGTCCGCTCCCCCTCTCCTCAGACCTGATTACATAAGTACAACAGGTCAGAAGAAAGTCCTTATTGAAATTCCCCACAAATGGACCAAATCCAGTATTGTTTGTACAACAAGCGAGAGCTGTACTGACTGAGCTGATAGGTTACCATATTAGCAATTTCTAGTAGGCACTTTTTTACATTTCAAATTACTATAGTGCACAGTTCATAAAGTTAGTTATTTTATAGCAGTAACCAAAGGTTCCGATATTAAAACATGTGTATTTCATCAATTCCTTGATAAATTTTATAAAAGTTGTAAAAATAGCTATATCCATATTTTTTTTTCACATAATTGTGGATGAGTACAGCCGTTATTTAGCTTTAACAAATCACGTTTTCCTATATATAGAACATACACCTTCCCGATAGGAAAAAGGCCGTTTTTTTCGTAAACTTCTCGATATACCACCCTTTTCTTCTAAGTTGTGTATAATAATACAAGGTATTTTTTGTAATAATTTTTAATTAATATCTTTGGAATATGCTTCAGAAGAAAATGTGCTTGACTTTCTTTTCGTGAAATAGAAGAAATTACAGTTTACACACAATGTTTGTACTAAAAAAATACCCGTGTTCGTTTATACTATAATTTATAAATTATAGTTTGAAGAGTTTACACTTTTTATATTTAATTTATTGATATAGCTTTGCAAGATAAAACAAGCTAAATTAAAAGTCGTAAGTTGATAGACAATATTGTTATTGCTGTTAATAAGGGTAATGTTACGTTTGTGAAGGATGACTGAAATTACTTCTCCAGATTTAATTATCACACATGTACTTTAGATTTATGTTCGTTTTTGACGCCAGATGTACTGAAAATATAGCAGAATGGTTGTCTTTTTTGTGACTTGATTCAAAATATGTTTAAATAAACTGTTGAATTTCTTAAAAATTTTTATTAACGTATACATATATAACTTGTGCATATCGTAATGAACATTGAATCTGATTCTCGTAACTAATGCCTAATGAAAAACGAAGTTTTGAGATATTGTCTGGTTGGAAGTTGGTGTAAGAAACTTTTAAACAGATTAAAAGTTCTTACTCACGTGTTTGTTGATGAAAGGAGTAACTGCAAACTTCAAATAAGACATCAAGGGTGACACATTGACGATAACATGGAAGTTTTTCAACCTCCGAATGTGAAAACCGAACCCATTTCTGATGAGGAGAATGATTTGTTGGATGTCACGTTTTTGAAAAATGAAGCAAAGAAAATAGCACCTTGTAGTAAGTTAAAATGTATAGAATTTTAAACGTTTGTGAAACACAAACATGGCACAGTTGTGGGCAAAATATTTCCTGTATTGATTAACAATTTTGCTTTATCATTAGAACAAGTCATTAGTACTAACACAGAACTATTATAATTTTGTGTTTCTTTTATAGTTTTTAATTTATTCTTTTACTGTATAATATTGCATTAAGCATTTTGTAACATCTGTCATTTGTCCATGAGAAGAATTGTATCTAGTGAACAGTCATAATTTATTTCATTAAGTGAACATTTAAACACCAAGATACATGTTAACGAATTTGAAGAATATATTGTATTAACATACAGAAAAAATATAATATAATAAATTGATTATTCATATGACATAGAAACTTGCATTAGTAATTAAAAATATAATATGGTTTAAAAAAAAAAAAGGTAAAACATTATTTGAAAAAAGTTCAAGCTAACAACTTCTTTCCAAGTTTAACCCTTCTTTATCATTGTATTTATTTTGGATGAGAGAATATTTGCTTTTTTTAGCTTTAAAAGCAATATAATATTTTTCATTAAAGCTGTAATGTTTTCATTCTTGCATTTTTCTAAGAAGTAAAGAGAACTGGAGATTTCATGTTTAACTAATGCTGTGGAGTAAGAAATGAAATAAGTAAAATAATTATTTCAAGTTGGTGTATGATTTGTATAGCTAGGCATAATTTAATATAATTTTTGTTTGTTACTTAATTTTGACAACTGTATGTATGAGCTATATCACTCAACATCACAGCAAGAAGTACAGTAAAAAAATGACTTCAATCTTAGTAGGCCAACATGATTGTCATCTATAAATATTTTAACTTTAGTGTTTTAGATGCAGTCAATTAAATTCTGAGAGTTACAGTTTTTTACTTAAACATTGAGTATTGTTGTATTAGCTATATTTGTGAATGGAAAATAAATCATAGGATATGGATTTTTTTTAAATAGTTTATTGAAGAGTATAAAACCATTGAACTTGAATTGTGAAACAGGCCTGTTGTACAAAGCCTGCTCATACACATAAGAAAGAGGAAAAGGTGAAGCTAGTGATGTTTATTAACTGGTGTAGACTACTAAATGTATAACAATGTTTGATTGTTGTAGATGGTTGTTTTAATAGCATCCTTAATAGGTGAGAGGTAGAAATAATTTTAATTGAGGTAAATAAATATTATTTTTAAATTTAGTGTGTGAACATGTATACACACACACTCAGAGAGCTTTATGTATACTTGTCCCTTTAAAGTGGTGTAGAAGCAATTTTGTTTTTAATATCAAGTTAAAATACTTTCCCATTTTCATCTTATAAAATTTATTTTCTGATGTTAATGATTTCAGCTGGATGTATTTTTGGGACTTACTGAAATGTGATTAATCTTGGAAGATAGTTTTAGGAATTATTTTTAGATTTCTGGTCACAAATTGTTTGAATAATGATAGTTTTTTAAAAGAGGTGCTGGGGTACCCCTGTATGTGAGGGATGAGTTGAAGCCAGTTAGGACTGAAGACATGATAAATAAAAGTCAGGAAGTTGAATCTATGTGTTTTGCAATCATTAGTTTCAAGGATGCAACAAGATCAATTAGCAAATTTAACTTGAAGACCACCAGATAAAAGAGAGAATGTCAATAAGAACTTGGTTAATATGATCAGTGTTTATGGACCACATGATAAAAAAGAGAATGACTATAAGAACTTGGATAATATGATCATTGTTTATGGACCAGATGATAATAAAGAGAATTTCAACAAGAATTTGGATAATATGATCATTGTTTATGGACCACATGATAATAAAGAGAATTTCAACAAGAATTTGGATAATATGATCATTGTTTATGGACCTGATAATAATAGAGAGAATGTCATTAAGAATTTGGATTATATGATCAGTGTTTATGGACCACATGGTAATAGAGAGAATGTCAACAAGAACTTGGATAATATGACTGTTGTTGCAACTAATAAAGTTAATGATGAAATACTTTAATTTTAAGCATATTGATTGGTAAGTCATACAGAATGTTCATAACTTTAATATTGAACTACCTTATTAATTGAATACAATGAAAACTCAAAAAGATAAACAATTGTGGATAGTGGTATATTGGAGGCTAACATTTCAGATTTGTCCATAACCAGGTATGCTTTGTGACTCAAAGGATGTCCTGGTGTTAATCATCAAATCTGTATTAGCTACTTGTGTCTCTCATAATTGAATAGAATAAGAACTATACAAGATATATAGATGTGGTTTGTGACATGTGGGAGACTGATGTTTGAAGTTTTTTTCCCACTAGTAAAGACAGTGTGAAGGACATTGTCTTTAAGATGAAGGTACCAAATATGGGACTGGTAGCCAATGCAAACCATGTATCGTATTAGGAATAATATACATGTAAGTAATATTAGACTAATTAATTTAAGAATAATTTATACATCAAAAACTACACTTGGAGTAACAGTATGCTAAATTGTTCTTGATAATTTTTCACTATATGTGTGAGTTATTGTCATAATTATATGCTGTCATATCTGTATTATGGTTAAGGATAAACTAATCAAACTGGACTAGTTTTAAAGAAAATCTGTTATTTTATAGTGAGAACTTTTTACAACGTAGTGATACATAGAAATCACGTGGTTATAAAAATATTTATTTTACACCTCTAGTGATAACAGAAACTGCTTTCCCAGAAGGATCTTCATTTACAGTCTTTGATTTTAAAATTAAAAAAAAAGAAAAGTATGATGAAGAACTAACGGAAGCTGAGGTAATTTGTATATTAAAAACTTATCATTCTCTCAATATGGATAACTACAGTGATATTTGTTTGAGAAAACATTTATGGAACTTTTTAACAAGGATGAATACTGTTTTAAAAACTGTGAATTTAATGTTTATTTTGAATATTTCAAGTATTTTAATGATTGTAATATATGGACAGCACTCTTAATTTTTATCTATTATTGATTTTTTAAGTACATTGCTAAAAATAATTCTTCCCATCCCACCTTCCACCACTTGTTACTTTATAATCTAATAATGCTCAAATTATGTTCTTTATTTAGTGAGTCTCTAGCCTTGATCACAAACATTCTCACATTATAACATTTATGTGTCACTTCTCTGACCTCACACTGTCACAGTTGTCTTAACATCAGTTAGAAATTTATTTTCTTGTTTGTCAGCTTTACTTTTGTGATGTTATAATGTTTATTGATCCTACCCGAGAAAAAAGATGGAAAATTTCATTTAATTTTTGGATCCTGAAGTCTGTGTTGTTAGCTGTCCCATCACACGTGTTGTAGCAAAATCAGTAAATGCTGGACTGATTTCCTTTATTTGGTTTAAGATGTTCTTTAATTTGTGCTGTTAAATAACATATTGTGGAATTAACATAGACCAGTAAAGGGTAACACAACAGCCAAATAACATTTAGGTACATCAAGCGACTGTACTATAGGGTTGTTCACCTTTAGCAAGTACTTGTTCACTATCTTGTTAATGACCAGTTTTGATAGATATAAACCTTGAACTTTGTTTTATTTTTTGGTATCAAGTG